CCCAGAGTTCTCCTAACTGAAGGTTTTCCAATATTTGAGAAATATTGCCACAGATGATCAGGCTTGGGTCTCGTTCAATTTCTGGTGGACAAGAACGACATTCAGCCTAGAGCCCCTAAACTGTCGCCTTCTTTTTGATCCAGAGCACATGTCGGATCAATTGAGGACTCAGAATCGCCCACGGAGTGGCAGCCAATGAGAACTCTCCGTTGTGCACTTGGTTGTTTTCTTGCAGACATTTCATTACCCAAACTAGGCAACGTCATCAGTCCCAGCCTGTGTTGTATTTTGGAAAGAAATGGGGTGGCCCACTGGAGAGTTCTCATTGGCTGCCACTCCGTGGGCGATTCTGAGTCCTCAATTGATCCGACATGTGCTCTGGATCAAAAAGAAGGCGACAGTTTAGGGGCTCTAGGCTGAATGTCGTTCTTGTCCACCAGAAATTGAACGAAACCCAAGCCTGATCATCTGTGGCAATATTTCTCAAATATTGGCAAACCTTCAGTTAGGAGAACTCTGGGGGAGTTCATGACTTGCTGGGGGAGTTCATGACTGGCTGGGGGGGAGTCCACCCATCGTAAAGTTGCCAAGTTTGAAAAAACGTCTTGTGTTCTGTGGGGTAATTTGGCCTATTTTCTGGAGGTTCATAAAAAAACGAAATCAGAGCATTTGAACATATCGACCTCTTGCCCCGTTTTCCTCAACTCTCCTTCCCCAGTCTCAGTAATACGAACCAACCTGGTTATTTCAGTCAATCCAGACAGAAGGCGGAGAAGCGAAGCCTCTATTTCTTCCTCCCATCTCGCATTGCAATGCTTGTCTTGCAGGTGGTTTTCAAATTTTTCTTCAGCCCCCAAACGGAGAAGAACCGGGAGATTGTCCGGCGATCGGGCCTTTTGCTCTGGCAGCTCCTGATGGCCCCCGTTGACCAGATCAGCCCTGAAATTCAGAAGGAGGTCTGCTTGGCCATCAGGTAGGTCACCTGGCCTCACCTCACGAGATCACTGATGGGAAAGTTCATTTCTCATGAAACTGAGGACGTAAAAATCACAAAGCAGCTGCTCTTTGCTTTGTCTACCAGGACGTGTGAATTTGCTTCGGCACATTAAAAAACAAAATACTCTTACTTTAATCAAACAAGTGCTACAGATTTCCAGACGGGGATCCATAATCCACGTCATATCAAATAATATCACCAACATATGCTGGAGTAAAATCAGAATTATCCTCAGAACGCAGTGCTCTTTTTTTTAATATGTTTTTGCACAAATGCTAAGCGTTGCCTTTCTTTGCCTTTTCAAGTTCTGGTCTAAGCATCCTGTACCCTGGAGAAACAGAAATTAATAACCTACTGAAACTGGTCTTAACAGAAGGTAAGAGTTTTCAAGGTGCTGGAGTGCAAATTAATTCGTACATTAAAAACAAAATCAGAATGTACACTTTGCTGAATGCGTCAGGTGAAGGTGGTGTCAATGAGAGTTTTGCAGCCCAATCCCAGGCCTCTTTTCTTGCCGTAGTTTTCAGAGTATGAGCCGCACCGTTTTTCCTCAAAAAAGAGGCTGAAAACCTGGGGGTGTCTTATACACTGAATGCAGCATTTTTTGTCTCCCGAAACCCCACCCCCCTTTGAAAAAATGGCCGTGCAGAGCCTTTAGGAGGCTTCCAGAGTATTCCTGGAGGCTGAGGAGGGCAGAAATGAGGAAAAAACTGGGCGTTTTTTTTACCCCACCCCAGCCCACCCCCCAGGAGCACTCTATAAGCCTCCTAAAGGCTCTGCACGGCCATTTTTAAAAAAAAAAAAACAACGGGCCCGTTTTTGTGAA